CGATATAGTGACAGACTGGCTAGACACCGGAGCAGACTAGCGAGAAGATTGCTTCCTGCGAGACCACTAAGGCGATTAAAACGCTTGGGTTTTGCCAAAAATATGAGATAAGTCGTTTAAGGATACTTGTAAATATATATTTGTAAGTCCTCCTGAATACATCAGAAGGTTAGGTGTTATATAAATAATCTAATTGTGTTGTTAAGGTACTAAACTTGCATTGTACAGATTCAGCGCTTAAAATATATATACAAACAAAAAAACTCATATCTCATATAGCTAGGGATCTGAACAACCCAATAGCTTTCTATTTGAATCAATTGTAACATATGAATAAATTTTGAAACACCGAACATTAGATACGATTCAAATCAGATAAATAAGAGATAGATTAATATATCAATGGAGGTAGGCATAGATTTGATATTATTATTCGTATATTTATTGAAAATGTTTTTATATATATTTAATATATAATTTATGGAACTGAAGATATGTATAATGTACAGTTACATGTTGGAATGTCAAATATATATACCTTCTTTGGGAGAGTATAATTTGCAAGCATTTTTTTGTCTGGTTGCTAAAAAATGTTTACACCTCTTCAGACAACTTGACAACAGTTACACCTGCAGCTACACCTGAACAGGCATATATTAATATATTGATACGGAAATATTTCGCACTTACATTAAATGCTCGCTCAGCAAAACTTTCCGAAATCGCTTACATTGCAGTTCGATTAACTGTGGCACCTATAAAAAGTGTGGGGAAAATATGGCCGGTTGTCAGTTTATTTATTACCTGTCGAAGTTCCAATAAGAATCAATCACTGACTATGGAGTTCTTTGCCGCATTCCTATTCATGCTACTCGCAGCATTTGCGAGCTCATCCTGTCCGGGCGTAGCATCGCCGCCGTGCCCCCAGAACTATCTGTTTAGCTGCCAGCCAAACCTGGTGCGAGTGCCATGTAGTTCATGTAGCCCTCCCGCTGTTGACTATGGCTCGGCAGGTGCATATACGGATCAGGTGCCCGCCTACGTCTACCTTGACCATAGCCTGTTTGGACTGGAGTATCGGAACTAAGAGTGCACTCTGTGGATGAGTTGCCTAGCCGTACAAACGATGACTACAGGTAGCTCCCAGTCTGATGAACGATGATGATAAATTGATAATATATACTTTATATGATAATTGATATTATGCACATTCGAAGAACGATTCTTACATTTTTATTAAAAACAAATTTGATATTATTCTTCTTCTAATAATAGCGATTTATCAGTTCCGTTTGCGCAAGGCGAATTTAAAGGCCTAACAAGGAGAAATTTAAGATAAGAAGTTATACTGTTTGAGAGAGTGATTAATATTCTAATCAAAGTAAAAATAGTGTCATGATCATTAAAAAAGAATGGTACAATTTTACTAGGGTAAATTAGCACGTAGAGAAATTTAAGATCAAAAGTAAGACTACAATATACTTATCGACGTGAATAATAAAACTGGTAACGATTACTTAAACTGATTGGCTATACTTCATCCATTCCATTTAAGTGAATAACTACCAATCGTAGGGTTGATGCCTTTAGGGGAATTTGGTGACTGCGAGTATCGTATATAATTTATAGAATGCTTTCTCTAAGATAGTCGGATATATGCATGAAACAAAATATAAAACTATACATAAACATCTGATATATAAAAATAAAATACATATGATTTATTTTCTTGATTACTCTATGGTACCAAAACCCGCTGTTCTTAAAATGTTCCTGATCAAAAAATATTCTTTATTGTCCCCATTCACATAGGAATCTCAACTGAAGAATTGTTTTGACCCTATGCTTTTAATTATCAATTTGTAGTAGGGCATCTACATACATATATATGTTTCCTTTAAAATAATTATTAGTTGTCGTTAATTCCTCTATGATTTCTAAACATGCAGAAGACATACCGACATAGGAATCACAAATGACCTGCACAGTCTTGACGCTATACATACATTAGGGCTAATCAAAAATTTATCTGTAGTCCAAATATATGCACTTGTACGAGATACAGTGCGCTGTGACTTTGTTGTATTTTGTCAAGCAATGGGAATTTCCCACATTTCAAGAACAAACAATACTTTGCCTAAGTATGTTATGATTCAGAGAATTATAAAGATTTTCCTTCGCTTGCCCTTCGACTCCATAATGGTATTGTCATACGGCAGCTCGTTCAGATATTAAGTTGATTTGTGGTTAATGATTTGCCGATCATCTGCCCAGCATCAGCTCATGGCTCATCTGCCTCTCCCCCGCCACTCCGGCTGCCCCAGTAGAGAGGCGTCGGCTGCCAAAAATAATGTCGCCGTGTGCCTCCAATTCGGCATTTAGACATACATACATACATCGTTGTCCACATACAAATGTATATACATATATACATATGTATATCTGTGAATTCGGTTCCACTTAGCCGCAGTCGGAATTGTTGTCTTTGCGCTTGTGGTCGGTCGCAGATCGTTTGTCGCCCATCTATAAAAAAAAAAAGAATCGAAATCCAATTTGAAATCCAAAAAACAAAGTGATGCCACAATTTACATAAATATACAGAAATTGGAAATTCTACTTTGAAAATGTCACGTGCCGCAGAGCGATCCTAACTAAAAGATACTCGGAAGGGTTTCACCCATTTTTGTGATCCCAAATAGTCTTGGAAGTGTCTTCGCCAAGATGTTTGTTTATATTTGATGTGATTTGTGTGTTATATTTGTGATTGCATAATTTATACGGAGACAGCGCCAGCATCGAGTGCTCCTCTGCTTTGTGATCAGCTGGCTCTATTTATCCATTAACACCCACACACCCGTCGATAATCGTACGCTCCACGATGAAGAAGCTACATTTGGGCGCCAAGCATAAGGCGAAGTCGTACAAACCCTTTCGGAATAAGAATCGTCGGGTAAGTGTAAGCACGGACCCAGATCCGACAATACACCCAGTGGCCCACCCCTTCACTGGCCCGGTTTTGTTATTTTTAAACACTTGCTCGCGACGTGGATCTCACAGTACTCTTAAAAATTCCGCTCACTTGGCCATGCTGAATATCACTCTTTCTGCTCGGCTCTTTCTGTTTATTTTTGCTCTGAATTGTGGCACAAGTAATGCGAAAGGCATGTGGAATGAGGCCAAAGACTCGGTGAAGCCACAAATCAATTCCTAAAATGCTGTCGATTGCAGTTTTAAAGAGGTTTAAGAACGGGCGAAAGGTCTTACGAGTGACGCGACAAGTTCATTACTCGTTTGGGTCACATTTGGAATTAGCGGAAAAGGTAAACAATAATTCGTCACACTCTTACCTTCAGCCAGAATATCGCGAAAGGGGGGCAAATGACATTCGCATTTCTCTCTGGCATTGGTTTACATACAACAAAACAATGGGACAAAACATAAGAAGAAGCACAAGCGAAAAAGAGAGCGCATTTCGACGCATGCGCCTTTCGTGAGTGTAGACTTTTCTATGCAAAACAGCCATCTTCTCTCTCCCACACATTCATTTAATTACTCTCTGACTCTCTGTGTGCAGCTATGCGCTCATCTGGAAATGCTTCCTTTCTCTCTGTCTCTCGCACGCACTTGATGATGGACAACATAATGTTTACGTTGTCGTGCACACTGTGTTGGCATTTTAGAATCTGATGGAACAAAGTTGGCGATAAAATTATGATAATAATGGCTTGATTATATTTCATAAATCTACATATTTTTAATAATAAACCGTCTTTTAATCATTACAAATTTTGTCTCTTGCTTGAATATTTATTATTACATTCCAATAAGAAAATATATCCATGTGTATTTGATGCATCCTGGTGGAATTAATTATTTCACAACATTATTTTGTTTAAATATTATGCAAGTTAACTGTAAATAAACATAATTAAAACATTCTCCCACTTTCGCTCAGAGCAGATCTAATTTTATACCCCCACTGTGCCTTATAAACAGTTATATGTAGTCACATACATATGAGAATATACAATGTATGTGTGTGTGTTTAGGTGTGATAAGCATGACTTGCCAACAGGTGGACGACCCTTTGCTTAATTTAGACAAATATCGATTTTTCACAAAGCAACAAAGCTCATAGAATCTATTCAACTTTTTTTTGCAATTAAGCGAAATAAAATTGCTTTGTTAAAATATTTAAACAATTCTCTATACATTTGCACTACATTTACATATACATGTGTATTTGTACATATAATTATGTATGCATGTGTATTATGGGTACGCTTGTAGCAAAAGTGTTGCCATTGCACTTGGACTTCCACTTCCAGTGAACTTAAATGAAAAGAGAATTTTGTTTACATTTCATATTGGCAAAGTAAAAGTGTGTGCATTTGCATTAGTGTTCGAATTGAAAGCACGTAGTAGTACGTAGTACTCGCATCGCAATCGCAATAGCAATAGCAATACTGGCAATCGCACTCGCACTCATTGAATCAAATCTACGTGGGTAGAGTGGAAGGACAGTGCAGCGGGGCAGTGTTGCGGTGCACACTCCCAACAACATTTACGCACTGGAAGTGAGGGAAACTCTACACAAGTGCTTTTTTTTTCTCCCCAAAAACGAAGCATTCAAGAACACATTTTTCGTTTTCCAAATACAGAAACGATTTAGTTTGCGTGCGGAATTGAGTTCGAGTGAATGTTGAATGCGAATGTGAATGCGAAAGTGAATATCTTGGGCGAAGTGCGTGGGGAATGGAATGTGAAACGAAATATGAATCAAATGAATCCTAGCTGGCATATAACTGTAATAAAATCTTATTAAATCCATCTGTAACAAAAGGGAACGCACAAAATGCCACAATAAAAGTGATAAAGCAACAACAAAAAATAGCAACATAAATACAAAAAAATTTTCTCTCAGCGGGAGAGTTCCCAAAGGCATTTACAGCTTGGTGTTTTCCAGTAAATTTATATGTGTGTGCATATACAAATAAAAAAAAAATTTAAAACAAGCAGATTATCGGCTTGCCGCGGGTCCAACTAAAATGCCAAATACCTATTTTTAACTCACACAAAGTAATATTCGAGAGACGCCAATACGTTAAAACGGTTGCGGATACGGCGTAGAAAACGCGTTGAGAAAAAATAAAATATATTTTTAAGATTATCATACCGGGGGGAAGTGGCTCAGTAGTTAGAAGAAGAAGAAGAAGCGGCGCGAAGTCAGCGTGTGTGCCTTTCCAGTTACATTTACCATTTACCATTCACCGTTTACATTTACTGAGTTTGCCTGTCTGCCAGTGGCTTCCAGAGCTCGTTATCTCGCTCGCTCGCCCGCCCTCGCTGTCACTCTCGCTATTGCTCTGTCCCTCTCCGTGTCCCCTTTCTCGAACTGCCAATTGCCTAATGTGGATTGCAGATTGTCGCCTGGCGTCCGAGTTCTGAGCAACCAGTGGGAGAGTGGATGCGGCGACCATCGCTATTTTCGCTTCCTTTACGTTCCTCGGACTCTGCGTGTTGTGGATCGTCACTCAGGGCTTCTCATCGTCATCGCCATTGACATCGTCATCGCTATCGTCATCGCCATCGTCATCAATTGCGTCCGTTACTGTGGCATTGACAGCTTCAATTGCGGTTGTAGTTGGGCCATTGGGTCGGTAACATCATCAAAATATCTTCATTCGAAGAGGATTATCGGGCTGACAGGCCCATGGTGCAGAGAGCATCCTCCTCAGATGCTCCCTCAATTCAGGGTGGCCAACATCGAGAATCTCGATTTGGCCTTGGATATACGTCATACCAAAGCGGATACAATAAGCTATTCACACAGGTGCAGAATGTTCAAGTAATATAACTAAAATTACCTAGTTCTACAGTCCCGATACCACGTCCCTTTGATCTTACATAGAGATACACATATATTTTGATCTATGATCTCATTGAATTCTCTAGGTACTATCGATACACAGCCTCTGGCAAGCAGCCAATATAATTACTTATGGAGAGAACATTGAGTTCTTATTATATACATATACATATGTACTTTGTGCACATTGCCCTCAATAATAACATGATGTGCTTTGTTTATTTTGTTTATCAGGGTTCTGCCGACTCGAACTACTCACAACCGTCATCCGATCTGTCGCTAGACGAGGAAAAGGAATCGCTTCGGCGAGAAAAGGAACGTCAGGCCTTAAGCCAGTTGGATAAAGCGAGGGCAAGATCTATCAATGATTAACTATGATAAACACTTATTAATATCTTTCTTTCTTTTTTCTTATAGAGTAAACCTGTAGCGTTCGCTGTGCGAACCAACGTAGCATATGATGGCACAATCGACGACGATTCGCCTGTGCAGGGCGGTGCAGTTTCATTTGAGATCCGGGAGTTTTTGCACATCAAGGAGAAGTATGACAATAACTGGTGGATCGGCAGACTGGTTAAGGAAGGCTGTGATGTGGGCTTCATACCCAGCCCCGCTAAGCTAGACAACATTCGTATGCAGGTGCTGAACTGAATATACCCWTGAATGAATGAAGTATTTGAAAACTCATCGAATATTGATGGTTTCTGTTGCAGAATCAAACAAGACCCTCAAGACTGTACGGCACAAAGGGCTCCTCAAGCGGCAATCTAGGTGCGGGACAAGCAGGTGCGGAGCCATCACGAGGTAGCACACCCCCCACACCTGGTATGACACACATTTCATTCTCCTGATTTCTTTTCGGCGAGGTTTTATTTCGTATATCGTAATATCAATTTGATTTCTAATCAAAATCTTTTCTGTTGTACGAGTGTTTCAATGTAATATTTACTTTTCGTATTWATGTCGTATAAACTATCTTCGTCGTCGTCGTCGTCGTTAATATTGAATATCTAACGACAGTCTCGTACACAAAACGAGTGACCATTTAACATATCTTGTAATATTCCACATACGATTTATATATCTATAAATGAACACGGGAGTGACTGGGTCAGTACCACAACCGAGGTACTCCAAAAACCGATTGGCATCAATCCAGGAAGACTCAATTGTCTCTTTCGAGAGCTGAATCCGTCAGCAAAGCAGCTAAGATCGTCCGATATGATAACGCACAAACATCAAATGTAGTTTTTCGCGTATCGTTTTGAATTTTCATTTAGAGATACCTAATATCTGGCAAACACTGGGCTCCAAAATTGTTGTAATTTCGTACATTTTGTGTTATATATATTTAAATCATGCGACCTCCATTATAAAACTGCAATAAGGAATTATATAAGCCATCAGCATTTGTCAAATGGTCCAGTCTATACTAATACTGATGTAGATAACAACACTTCTTTCTGCATGATAACAACCACTCAACGAATTGGTCCAGAACGCATACCTCTTTCTCTGTCTTTCTATCTGTCTGTTTCTCTTCTCAACACGAACACCACACGATCTGAAACTCTAAGCTTTTCTATAGAGAACAACTAACAGCACGCTCCTAATCATTTGCTCGTACTTTCCTAATACTACAAACTATGTATATGACAATCTAGCAAAATAAAATCCTATTAACTGCACTTAACTCTCTTCTACCTCACACAACAACAACCAAAACAACAACTATCACTAACAACTACCTACATCACAACAACAACAACAACAATTATAAAATCAACTTTGTGTGTGATAAATAACCGTGTTCCAAAGACCCCTATAGTACAACACCACGCAAGAAACAAGGTTTGTCGAACGTCTCTCATCTGGTAATTAGAAAATTTCATTTTTGAAATCTTATGTTCGCCATGCTAGAAAATAATATTCGAATATCTGTAGCTTTAATCAATCGCAATTGGAAATCGTAAATCCCATCTAGAGTTGGGCGACAATAAGAATTATTTAAAGTAATTATCAAATTGATACTCTGATAAGAATGCAAACGTCGATTTTTATAATACACAGATATTGATTGTGTTTCCTGCACTGTCACCCGAATTCCTAACTTATTCTCTAAATGTAGAGCTTTTCTCTAGATGGGCAAATCTTTTGGCCACTCACTTCATATATCCTTAGACTTAAGATGTGCTTTAGACTGAATCTCACCCTCGAGTTGGCATTTCAACAGCATTTTAATATCGCGTGGTACAGTTGCAAATTATAAATAAAATCTTGCTTCCCCAAATTGGATACCACACACACTCACACACACACAGAAACAATTGAATACACACACGCACACAGTGAAAATTTTTGTATCTTTCCAATAAAAATTACTTGTATATATGAATTGTATATAAAGCAAATTTTTGGTAAAGAAAAAAAAAACTAAACAAGAACTTTAGTTGTAAATTGGCTTGGCAACTCGTAGCGCTCGATCGTCGTATGTAGAAATCATAAAATCGCTCATCCGTTGCCATTATCTCTTCTCTCTGGCTATTCGAATATGATACTAACAATCAGGTGACGAATCAGATTCCATGGGACCAGGACGTCATGGCAAGACACCGTTAGCAACGCCGCCCAACAAGGAAAAGCGCAAGCCATTTTTCAAGAAACAAGAGACAGCCAGCCCATACGATGTGGTGCCATCGATGCGTCCTGTTGTTTTAGTGGGTCCAAGCCTTAAGGGTTACGAGGTAACCGACATGATGCAAAAGGCGCTGTTTGATTTCCTCAAGCATCGCTTCGAAGGACGCATCATCATCACGCGCGTCATGGCCGATATATCGCTAGCGAAACGCTCGATTATGAACAATCCATCAAAGCGGGCCATCATGGAGCGTTCCAGCAGTCGGTCGGATTGTCTGGGCAAGGTCCAAGAGGAGATCGAGCGCATCTTTGAGCTGGCCCGTTCCCTGCAGCTGGTCGTACTCGATTGTGATACAATCAATCATCCGTCACAATTAGCAAAAACTTCATTAGCGCCAACAATAGTTTACTTAAAAATTAGTAGTAGTAAGGTAAGTAAAAACTTAATTCGTATAAATCAAAGAGAGAGAGAGAGAGAGAGAAACACAGTAAATTAATATAATTTATTTGCAGGTTTTACAGCGTTTAATCAAATCACGTGGCAAATCACAAGCTAAAAACTTATCCGTACAAATGGTTGCCGCTGAAAAATTAGCCCAATGTCCACCCGAAATGTTCGATGTAATTTTAGACGAGAACCAATTGGAAGATGCCTGCGAGCACATAGCTGAATACTTGGAGGTAAGTATCTGAGTATAATATCTGGTATATATCAGTTGTATTCACCTATCTGACTTCTGCAGACATATTGGAAAGCCACGCATCCAGATATACGCGCTGGGTCCACCGTACCGACCATTGCCAGGCCGATACCGTCCCAGGAGGTGTCGGCATCGCCCTCTGCCGATCCAGCGCGCTTGGGTCCAACACCACCAGGTAAAGTTGAAGCTGCTGTAGGATGTGGTCATTTCGTGAGCGCATTGTCATCTTCATACGTGTATCGTATCCCCTTTTCGCAAACAAAAAAGGAAAAGAAAAAGACAAAAGTGAACTATATTCAAGAAATCAATTCCGATTGCCCACTCTATATATATATCCACTCTCTCATTCACAAATCCGTTTTGGCAATTGAAAGCTCATTGAAAAACGAAAAAAGAAGTCACAAATCGATCTCAGATCTGATCTGTTCAACTAGATATGCATTTATGATTTTAGTTAATTTATTTTGACTTTTGTTTTCGACATAATACCAACAATTTAAGAATAACAAAAAATACTCATATTCACAATTGCAAAACACGAATATTCACAATGTTATCAAACCATATACTCGTATATGCTCGTACAAAATACAATTCTAAAATTTGTCTTTCTCAAATTCAAATTCCCATGACTGTACCGATAAACAATAAAACAAACAAACCAATCGATGCTTCTTCTTGCTCTCTTACCGCATTCGCGTGTCTGCGCAAGTAGTCGATGGCGAGGAGTTTGAAGAGCACGAGCCACGAATGGCGAGTGTCGAACGTGAGGGTAGTCGGGATCGGGAACGGGAGCGAGAGCGTGGCAGGGAAAGAGAACGGGACAATGAACGCGACTACTGGGACAGAGAGTTCAACAGAGATCGCAGTTCGAAAGACAGAGAGCGGGACATGGAGTGGGAGCGCGAGAGAGCACGCGAATGGGAAAGAGAGCGAGAAAGGGATTGGGATAGAGAGTTCGATTGGGACCAAGGTAAATTCTAATGTTATTTTTCATTTGGTTAACTATAATCGCATAATTTTGAACAGCAAATCTATACGTAAAACTTTCTCAAATAGCGTTAAACGTCATATACATGCATAAATACCAGTATTCTTATTGGTGACTTAGTTGTACCTGTTGTTTATTATAAAACTATATTTGCCATAGAGTTTCAATGTCTCACCTATAGATATATCGTATACATAGCTCAGCTTTTCTAACAGTACTATATACTTAACACTTTGATATTTTAATACATTGCTATTTGCAGAAACTTTATTTTCTTCATATCCAACTATATTTTATATACAAATGAATTATCTATTATGTTACAAGATCCCGTTTATTTTTTATGGTTTTTAGATTTTTTAGACCGTGGGGCACCTAAAAGTTCATAATATGCTATTTGATAGTCTATTCTCTCGATGTTTTCATTTACCCAATCGATACGTTTTACTGTGTTCTTCTATCTATTGGTTTCAACTAGAGTTTAAGATCCTTAACACTTGAGTTTTCATTGGTTTCTTATTTATATACATGTTCTTTTATGCCAAACACTTCACAGCATTCACAGCACGAGACATACCCGGTTCCTTTACAACAATGCTATAATTTCAATCCAATTACCAAGATCGACACAAAATCAAACGAAAGCGACATCAACAAAAAGTACAAAGAAAATGACAAATAACTATCCGAAACGAAAGAGTCTGTTCCAGTTTTCGCTATCGAATGCCCCCACCCACGGAGATCAACAAAGAGATATGAAAACGACTCGAACTAGAGCTCGAGTTTCACTGAGGTGCACAACTCCGTAGGAAACGTTCTTTCTATCCCATATATACATATTTATAGGGCGCATTCCGTAGCCCCCTTGATCACTAAAACCCTATTAACAATAATATTTAAGATTGGTTTTATACTCTTTCTATAGTTTCTGCTCGAGTTCTGCTAACAACTACTAAACCGTGACTCATTCGAATCCCTGTGCTTTCTCCAATGCATTAACCATTATTCATAGAGTCCACAGATGCGACTCGGTATCAACGTATATCATAGATATATATTGTAATTGTCTAAATGTGCATTTGCCATGTTTTGTACTCGTTTCTAGTTACTCCTGGCGTCGTGCGCCTCTAGTGTCCTCTCGTCCTCGTCCTTCTACTCGATTCCTACATTGCTCGGGTCCAGTCTGTCAGGCTCAGCAAATCAACTCAGTTTAATATCTTGTGTTTGTTTAAGTTCAATACTTTTTATTACCGTTCGTCATTTCGAGTTAGTTAAAAAACCAAATCAAAAAAGAAAGAAACAAAATAATATTCGTTATTTTAGACACACATAAGGTTGGCTTAGTGAGTATTTCGTAACCCATAAAAGGCTTTTATTTATTATGTTTAATGTAACCCCGCCCAGATGTTTTTTTATTGGTTATGTACCACATATCCCCAATTCCTCCATTTTAACTACCTAGAATGCTTTCCTTTTAGTTGCATAATTTCCATCATTAGTTGATAGAGCAAGATGATGATAATCTAGTACTTTTCCACTATTGTACAATTTTTTATTTCTAATCTACAGAGAGTAACACACAAGCCTTTCAACCCATTTTTATACAAGATTAAATTATGAATAATAATAGCTTATTTTTTTTCGGCTAGCTTTGCTTTAAAAAAAATCTAATCCACCACAAAAAAATAAAAATAAAATAAGTCCTAGTAAATCAATAATAATACTAACTTAAGGGAATTGATGATTAAATAGCAATACGGCTATATACATATATATAGTTAGAATACCTCGCAAACCATATGCACTCTCCCGTGTTACTAAAACGTCAAGTGACCTTGAAGAATTTTACCTTTGCCAATTGATGCGTTCGAATGCTTTGCTTTTCCGTTTAGTTTTTAGTTTGAGTTTGAGTTTGGTTTACCTATGCGTTGGATTTCAATTTGATTTAGCTTAATGGAGAACTCGATACTAACGAATCTGTGTGTTAACCATTTTGCAGGAGGTGCCTCTTATCATCACAGTCGTCGTCAGGTCTCTGGACGGCATCAGGAGCGCGGCAGCGGGGGAGTCGGAGTCGGCCATGCCGCTGGCTACGAGCGCGACAGAGAGCGATACGAGCGACAGGAACGGGAGCGACTCCACGCTAGAGATCGTGATCTGATGCACTACGATCTGAACAGCGATGAAATGCTGGACGAGCGCAATTTTGAGTATCCGGCAATGCGCAGCGGGCCGAGCGGCGCCTCCCACCATGGCCACCTGTCGCGTGGCGGTCGCCTGCTGGATGATACAGACTTTGAGCGCGACGATCGATTGTTGGGCAGCTCAAGGTCACGCTATGGACCCGGACCATCCACACGCATCGACGATCCCCGGGACATGGCGCGAGCAGCCACTGTGGTCGATCGCGATCGCGATGAATACAGTCCGCACAGAGGTGGTGGAAGTAGTAGGAGAATGCTGAATGCCATGTAGGAATCGTGGATATAGGGGTGGGATCAGATCGATTCGAAAGCGCCAGGTTTGATGGAAGCACGTGACAATAGTTTTGATCTTGACATGATACACAAACCGAAACCCAAACCCAAACCGCTGCTCCGACAGCACTCACAATCCCACTATCAGCCTCAAAGTCAAACTCCGGCTCAGCCTCAGATTCAGCCTCAACTTCAGCATCCATCTCAATCTCTAACTCAGTCGCATCAGGCACATCCTTCGCAGCATTCATTCCTGGCCAGGCAGCGCAGCGGCGGCCAGTGGCTGTCATCCCCGTCGTTCTCCCTGTCGCAAGCCTCGATCGGTCAGCCCAGGCCCAGCGAACACTTTCCGTTGCGACACCAGCCACTGTCCTACCCGCAGGCACGACCACACAGCCAGAGCCAGTATCAACACCCGCACTCGTACACTTCCAGTCGCACACAGTCCCACACATCCCTATCGACGCGCTCCCAACTCTATCCCAGCGATACGTTCCAAAGCACCTCATTTAGTCACCCGCCGTGCAGCGACAGCGACGTCCATCGAAACCGAAACAGAAACAGACCAAAAAGTACAGCCGCGGAATATGATTGGAGATCGTCATCCTTCTCGCAAATCGATGCAGTCACCCACGCAATACGTAATAAGATTATTGTTGAGGAGGACGAAGAGGATATACTGACCCCAGATAGGTTTTATTGAAGAGATTTCAGCGAGGCACCAGGCACAAAACAACCGATATTTTGAAAGGAAGGGGGCATTGCACAATATGTTTACGTAGTAGAACTTCCCTAAAAATTTAGTAAGATCAATTTTGAAATGAACCGTATATATACATATATATGTATATGTATGTATGTATATATACCGATATCCATTCACACGTAGAGCATACTTATTTCAGTGCCAAAACACATTTGTACATTTCCATCGGGAGGCGGGATACGGGATACGGGAGAGACCCATTCGAATTTCCTAGCGGAAATCGTCGGGATGGAAATACTTACATAATTTATGAGGAATAGCACAATGCTAAGTACAGCCTTATGTGTCTTAAATACTATATGTAGCTAAGTGAGATGAGATTTTATTTAGCAAGCCGTATATGTATATGTATATATATGTATATGTATATGTTATATATGTATATATTTATATACATATATGAAATAATTGAGAATTAAGCATAAGATTTACACCTAAACAACATTTGTTGATGCATTTCGCCACATCAATTTTTGAGGGGAGGGAGGGAATGTATAGTGGGAGGGAATCATCATAGTAGTTATATATTATATACATATATAAACACACACACAGACATATATATATATATATATATACATATGTATATATATTTTTATGCAAGAAAAAGATAAACTAAGTGGCAGCTTTAATAATTTAGTGAACATACTACTATATATTAATCTCTAAGTAAGTGCAGAAGAAGGAAAGAGAGGCACACACACATACACACACACACACGCATCACAACAAATCAAATCGAATGAAATCTCTTTGATAAAACAAATCTGAATTTGCTGAAATGTCTTTAAATTCTACGCTAAATCTTTGCTATTCGTAATCTGTATCGAAGTCCACTTCCTATAATTCAAGTTGATCTTCTCTAACTTAGCTCTCTACTTGTTATTGTCTCCTCTCGCTTCTTTTTTTTACAATCTTTCCAGCTTTCAGTTAGTTGCTTGAGTACAGCAATTACTATACTACCAGTGCCTTAACAAAAAGAAAAACATTCAAACAAAACAAACACTAATAGAAACACTATATTATATATTGCACTTGAGCATTTGATTTTTGTTATATATGTACATATTTGGTTTTCATCATATTAGAGCTTGTATTCCCCATTGCCCTCGCTGCTTATTACGTTCTTTGCGTGCTTGGCGATTCGTTGCGATTCAATCATTAGCCATCATACTATTATGGAGAAACTATTGTAAGTATGTTTTTTGATCTGGCCCATTCCAAACGAGCACTCTTTATACAATTCCAACCACCTGTACGAATTGATCAAAGGTTTTCAACAATTTCAACACTGAATTCAAATCGATCGCGACTTTAATGGGAGTTCAAAACTCCCCAGAACCTCCAGTGTTAGCTTGTTTAGCGCTAAGTAGCCTTACCTTCCACACCTGTAACTAAGACCATTTGGCAAGCTACCTTTACGAAAGCCTCGCAATAGATTGTGCTTGAAGGACGGGGGCGGGGGTGGGGAAAACCTGACGACAGGCGAAATATTGATTGATCACTGCACTCCCTATAAAATTAAGTGAGAATATGGCAAAAGGGCGACTTCTTGTACGAAAATAAAAAATGTAATGTAAAATTCTGGTCTCAAGTATTTGTTATCTCTTACAATCAAGATCTTTAACTCTTCAAGTTGTGATATATTTCCACTTCAAAATCTGTTTGAATTGGTTTCAACTTTTCAAGTCGCCCTTAGCTAATTGATGAGAAAACCTACAATGGAGCATTTTGAGCTAAAGGAACTGGCTTTAAGAATACAAAAAAAAAAGAAAAAAAAAAGCAAAACAAAAAAAAAAATATTGTAAAATCGGTGAATATAAGCTATATACAATATATGAGGGCTAAAAGAAATATAGACCTCTCAAAAAACTGACATTTTGATAAGAACTGTATTAAACAAAACAAAGAAGCAAACATAAAAGTGAAAGCAACTATTGGGCGAAAATTCGTAAGTGTTCAACCCATACAAAACAAAGAACTTATAGGCAAGTGTGCATATGTATAAAAAGCGATAATAATAATATGAAAGAACGTGTTTAGATTTTAATATTGGTTTTTTAATTGATCCATATAGTACCGGAACAAATCATAATACATAAGTATCCTACTGAAAGAGCCTGGTATAACACATAGAACTTCAGGACTATGCTCAGCTTATAAATATCGAGAAAAAAACACATGAACAATATTACATATACCCATATACATAGTACACGCATATTCGAACATACTTAATAGACCTGCACTACAAGCATCTGTATCACTTGGATATAGAAGAAAGCAAGTAAAGCAACATTCGGACGCTACCGACTGCCTAATACTCGTTCACGCTCTAAAAGCAGCTAAGTTGCAAAGTTATTTTAATATTTTCCGAAGTGTCAGCTAAGTGAAAGATCCTATAGAGGAGTTCAACAGTGATTAAACTGATATACATACATATATCCAGTTCTTAAACTGAGGAAGATATTTTTAATGACATGCCTAGATCCAAATAGACCTATATGTGTACTCCAGATATGTATATCTCATCAGAAGACATAAATAAACAATTAATACTCTTTTTCGCATCGTGAACGAGCATTTAGGAAAATGTCAAGAGACCAGTTCATTTCGCAATAAAAATGCTTAGGATTTCCACCCTGAATGGAACGGGAGGAGCGTGGAGTGTGGGGCGAATGCTAAGGCGATATGCATATACATATATATTATAAAGTAAAATTAATAAAGAAATAAATGAAAATTATAACAGTTCTTGTACAAAGTGGCAACAAATTTATTTATTTAGCTATAATTAAATATACTGAACAATTACTTTTTAATATTAGCTTGAAGTTCAAGGGGCAAACACGAACGGAGGATAAATACCTAAATAAGTAAATAATATTTAAAGAACCCAACACACACACACACAAATATGATAGACAAAACAATAACATATACATACATATACTAAGTATGGCATATACATACAGACATATGTAAATTATACAAATTAAAATTTATTCATATGAATAATTCACAGAACTGGTAACTCACAATAAAGTTAAAAGATATAAATATGTAAATGTATTCTGCTATAAATAACAAAATTTAAATAAACCACTTTACCAATAGTACTATAATTCAAAAACTTTTGCATAATACTATAATAATGAAATATAAATAAAAATAATAAAAATGTTGAAGGGACTTATTTTGAATATTGCAAACTTGTTTCAATCTAATCCAAAACAAAAATAAATTATTAACAATTCAAATATTATAATTCGTTGACTTACTCTTACACACACACACACACACACACACACACACAAACACAAGCAATTTTTATAGCGATAATACCTGAGAGGTATTGCAACACATATTTCAGACACAGAAATACGAAATTCATATTTCATCATTCAAACACAATTTTGCTAACGAGAGCTCCATTTCATTTAAGCCAATCTAATAAATGCAAGCATTATTTTTTTAACAGCAATAAATATATGCAAACAAATTTATATTACAAAATAAAAGTAAAGTAAAGCACGCCTGAGGTTCCATATTCGATAAAAATAATAATTCAAGCTATAATTAAAAACCAAAATGGGTGAAAAAAAAACGCAAACAAATTACAAAAATTTGAAAATTATCAATCCAAATTTATATAGAATATTTTTTACGTATACAGATATATATTGTAAAAACCGATAAATTTACCATAATCGTTTGTAAATAGTTAACGATATCTGAATTTCCTTATATGTATGGAAAGAAAATTGCAATCTACCCTAGGTTCGTATGGTTTCCGTTGTTTTGTTTGAAAAAAAAATCTATAAAAATACTAAAAGTATGATTTAAAATGAGAAAAAAAAAATTGAAAAGATACGAGTATGTAGTTAAATGAATGCTAAATTGCAAATAAAACCAATTAAAATAAAACGAACCTGAGCATTATTCATTGAAATTATTTTTGCAACTAGGTACAATCTGAAATAAATAAAGTGTTGGTCTAATCTAATCAAAAGTTCACTAGACAACATCTGATACTGATACGAGTGTTTACTTCCTTCATAAATGTTTCCTATATTAACAAATGAACTTTCCATCGGCTGACAACATCCATGACGTAGCCATACTGAGTGAGATACTGTGCCGCTTCTTAACCCATGTAACACACAATGGGTTAAACTTGCTTTCGCGATGTCAAGAATATTCGCACAAGTACACGAATACACATGCATATGCACATGCCTACGCCATGTCACGTATGTGTGCGTAAGCTTGTTTACTTCATTAACTACGCTGAGCTGCGAATATTGGTGAGCAAGGAGAGAGCAAACGCCGGTGCTGCCTCTTATCGCGGCTGATCGACTGACCAAAGCTCATACCAACGCAGTCACTCAACGCTGACTGCGCAGTCACCGTCGCAATTGCTCTCCAGCCGTTTCGCCGCCTGTTCACTCTCACACGCCGAATCAGTTGACTTATTAAGCTCAGTGCGACAAGTGCAGTGCGTGTGAGGAGCTCCGCGAAGTGCTTTTGTATTAGTTGATTTCAAGCCCAGCAGTGCAGTGCGTGTAAGCTCTCCAGAGTGCTTCTGTATTAGTTGTTTTTCAAGCATTTTACAAGACTATCGTTATTTTTTCTGCAATAATGCCGCTGAAAATAAAAAATGTTTTGGTTTGCGATGCAGTCGACAAGGCGTGTGTCCAGCTCCTCGAAGAGAACGGCATAAATGTAAGTCCATTAATATGATACGTACATATATGATACACACACATGTATACGTATACACACACATATGTGTTGGTATATACGTATAAAAGTGATTATATATGTATTTATTGTGTATGTGGTTTTTGTTCAGGTTACATACAAGCTGAAGCTGCCGGTGGATGAGCTCTGCAAGGAAGTAAAGGTGATTATATAATACCTGTAATCGTATCTGTATGTGTATGTACTTACATATTTTAAAGTTGTATATCAAATGCCTTAACAAACAGAGACACGCATATACATACATATGTATGTGTGTGGGCGTGTGCGCTAAAGGTGCTCCTCTGTCGCCAACACGTGTGGTTAACCGTATTAATAATACAGACAAACATGTGTACATACATATGTACGTCACTGTTGTCAAGCCTGTTGCACTGTGTAAATATTTCCATTGATAACGTTTGCATAAGCATTTTGCTGTTTATTAAATTTAATTCCATTTACATATTTCTTACTTCTTAGAGATTATTTTTGCAGAGAGTAGCACATACATACAATGAAAATGAGTGTGAGTGTAGGTATGCAGTGTATATGGATGTATGTTATGTATGTATTTACATATGTTAAATGCGTTAAATGTATGATCTTGTCTGTTAAAGTTTAAGCGATTATGAACTTTGGAAAACCCTGAAAATGTAGCTTAATGTTCTATTGTTTCTATTGACACTTTAAAATTACAAAATTAAAATGAATACTTCATGAATAGCATATATTATATATATACTTCGTATTGTTTGTTTCTCTTATCAGCTTCTATTTTGATTCGTTTCATGCGTTCAATGAACCTTTGCCTAGAAAAACATTATTAGCTAACGCTCGAGCACGCGATTCATGCGCTTGCTCCAGTCCTTGGGGCTCCACTGCAAGCGGGTGGGGTCAACGCGTAGTTTGCACTTCTCCATGGCAACTCGGTGCTGATCGATGGCATCTTGACTGATGCAGACTATGTGCTGACCCCTGCAGTAGGTCAGGAGATTAAGCCATTTCAGTGTGTAGATTACATCATCTTTTTTGATAGCCGTCTGCTCGCAAATATCATTGATGCTTGTCGAGGGTCGCACGCCCTCGGCAGCTGATTGGTTCTGCTTGACGAGCAGCTCGAGAATGGCCCGTGCCCAGAAGGAGCGATAGGAGAGCAGGCCCAGGTCGGAGAGCGGCTTCTCTGGCGTTCCCGTTTTGCCCTCGTATTTCGACAGCTCGTAGCTGAACTCGATGAGCAACTTGCCGTAGCCCTTGCGCTGATACGGCGGCAGCGTCAGGACACAGGCCAGGTTGTAGTCCTCGACGCTGATCTTCTCCTTGGAGAAGTAGCCGACAATGTGAAAGCCACGGGAGTCGAACTCCGTCAGCACGTAGAACAGAAACGGATCTGTGTCAAAGTCGACCATCTTGTGGTCCAGAAACAACTTGGCCAATAAGCACAAGTTCTGGGCGTACAGCTTGTTCTGGCGCCCGTCGATCTCGAAGAACGATATCGAATCCTTCCGATAGATCTCGCTGCCAGGTGGATGCTTCAGAGTGCACTTGCTCAAGTGACGTCCCAGGCACAAGCGACTTTTGCAATACTTCAGGCAGAATTCGCACAGGTAGATGCAGTCCTCATGGCACAGCTGCTCGGGATAGGGCGAGAAGTACCAGGGGGCAATACGATAACGCCCCAGCTCAATCATTTTCACATTCTTGATGCATGCCACAATGTTATTCGCGCGCTTCAGTTGACGCAACTCTAGCAGCTTACTGCGCCCCTGGGCAGCAACTGCGGCGCTATCAATTTTCTCCACTATTTTCAACTGCTTGGGACCCCTGGCCCATCCTTTGGATGTAGATGCTCCAGTCTCCGGCTGATCTTCTTGTTGTTGTTTGCCCTCTGTTGTTGAACTCGGCCCGATCACCGAAGCCGGACGCTGGGAGAGTGCGGCGCTAACGAGGGTTGTGCTCTGCTGGCTCTCACGGGCAGCGATGCGCACGCAGCTCAGATCGAGATCATCCTGACTAAGCCAGTCGTCAAGGCGCTTATTGCAACCGTCGTAGTGCACGTAGAACTGTCGCTGGCCCTCATCCGATTCCTTGATGCCAACGATCTCGGCCATGTGCCACTTGCCCGTAGTGCGCATGCGCGCCTTCAGGCGGGAGCCGACCAGGAGAGAGGCAGAAGATTGACACTTGACTATGGAGCTCATAGTACGCTTATCAAAGATTCGGCAATAAAACAATTAATTATGCCGAGCCAACACGATTGAGATAATTCAAGCTGTGTGCGCAGACGCCGAAACTGGTTCAAACCGGTGCAAGTTCAGCGTTGCCATTCGAACCGGAAACGTTTATCAGCTAACAAGTTGTTCTAGGTGCGAATGTCAATAGCCCGCGATTACGATAAAGCTCGCGTATTCAAGTGTTTATGGGCTGAAAATAGTGAACTGGAATAGATTGTCAAACATTATCAATGTCTTGTTAGAGTAAAGCTAAAGTTTGAATACGGTATTAAAAATAGAAATAATAAAATAAATATAATAATATTGCGGCGTGATCGATACCATAAATAATTGCGTAATTGATCCTATAAATAATATTTACTTGTTAACGGAAGTAGAGTAAATCCAATTCGTTTCTATCGTCCGTCCGTAAGAGCTGGAAATCTTGGAATTGTATGACTACGGTCTCTTATTGCAATTACCATTCAAATAATCATAAATCAATGCATTTATCGTTTCTATGAAATCGATTGAAAATGATATCGAGCTTTAGTTGCGCAAGTGGAACCAGATATGGTATCACTTGAAGTTTGTCCTAACAATATTCTATTGTGCGAACAACGAGCACCCCACTTATTGGATACCTCTCCAATTCCCTAAGTCATAAAGTACTTGCTGTTCACATGGACTCAAATATACATGGATCATACATTCTAACGCGGAAAATGTGCCCCAGCAAGTAATTCACAATAGAGTATTCCGATAAATTGAACTGGGAAGAAGAAGCAAACGGTGCGCGTAAAATGTACCAACAATGTGTTGGTACAGCTGCATTATTTACAATATTTATTATAATTAATATAATTAAATTAAAAATGATATTTTCACATTGCTTTGTTTAAGTTTAGGATCAAAAATATTGGTTTTTCCATATGTAATAACCTCTAGCTACATTTCGAGCAGGTTTTTTTTTTTTTAATATCAATTTACTGAAAGATGGAAGATCATTTGGGCAATAATTGCCATATGTACATATATTTGAAAGTAATTACAGGGTATCTGCCAGCCGGGCACACTTGACCGACAACCACTTGGACTTGTTGAAATATCAAAGGCAATTATGGCAAATCTATAGACTAGTTTGGCTTTGAATTATCTAAGGAGTTAGGCCCCTTCAGGCATTCCTCTCTTTCGATTACTGCTCTTATTAATATGCTATACTGAGGGTGTATAAATAGACGGGTCGACACTCGAGTATATGCATCTCTGGTCGACATGTTGCATGTGCATTTCTCATACCCGCTAACCACTTGTTTACCATAATCTCCCAAACAGAACTTCGACGCTGCCATCGTGCGTTCGGATACAAAGATAACAGCGGAAGTGCTTGCGGCCGGAGCCGGGAGCCTGAAGGTTGTGGGACGAGCGGGTGCTGGAGTGGACAACATCGATGTGACTGCAGCGACGACGCATAATGTCGTTGTCCTTAAGTAAGTGAATCTTGCCTGTGGAGTAGAGCAAAGGCAACAAAAAAACAACATTGGCAAAAGGCAAAGGCAGAGGCAGAGGCGAAAGGCAAATATGCACGAATGTCGCATCGAATGCTCGGCGTTATATTGAACGATGTGACGGGTCATATTAGGCTGCTTGCCACGCATAATTAGACGGCGCGCATATTTTGTGCGGCGGAGTTTGGGCTAGACTGGGATGGGATGGGTTGGTGTGGGTGTAGGTGTGGGTGGATGTTGATGTGGATGGGAGTGCTTTATTGGCATTGAGCCGCCTGGATTGCCAAGGATACTGCGCGAATACGCGATATTTTAGACATTTGCATAACGCTGTCTAGTCAAAACAAGTGCCTCCCCGCCCCACTCCGGAGGAGACCTAATGCTTAGTGTGCTTTACTTTCAGCACACCAGGCGGCAATTCTATTTCGGCTTGTGAGCTGACGTGCATCCTAATTGGCGCTCTGGCGCGTCCCGTTGTGCCAGCCGGCCAGAGCATGAAGGAAGGACGTTGGGACAGGAAGCTCTACAGTGGCAACGAGCTCTATGGGAAAACCCTCGCCGTGCTCGGCCTGGGCCGCATCGGACGCGAAGTCGCCATACGCATGAAGGCCTGGGGCATGAGGGTAACGCCTTATTGGTTCAATCAATTTGTTCAGTTTTGGCTAATAGCTGTTCATACGCTCAAATGTTAGGTAATTGGCTACGATCCCATTACCACGGAGGCCGAGGCCAAGGCTGTTGGCATCGAGAAGCTTACCTTGGAGCAGATCTGGCCCCTCGCAGACTACATCACTGTGCACACCCCCCTGATACCGGCCACCAGAAGTCAGTTGATTAACCTGTCCGACAATGACACGACGTCTAAGACATTCCCTTCTCCCACAGATCTCATCTCGTCGGAGTCCTTGGCCAAGTGCAAGCAAGGCGTGAAGGTAATCAATGTGGCACGTGGCGGCATCATCGACGAGCAGGCGGTGCTCGATGCACTGGAGAGTGGCAAGTGCGCTGGCGCCGCCTTCGACGTCTACGCGGAGGAGCCACCCAAGTCGGAGGTCACCAAGGCGCTCATCAATCATCCCAAAGTCGTGGCCACGCCCCATCTGGGAGCCAGCACGGCCGAGGCGCAAGTGCGCGTCGCCGTTGAGGTAGCGGAGCAATTCATCGCACTGAACGGCACCTCGCCGAAGTACACCAGTTACGCAGGAGTCATCAACAAGGATGCACTGGCTCATTACCAGTAATTCCGGCGAATTTGTTTGTCTTACTTTATAACTGATTCAATTACACTCACATTCAAATTAATATCGTGTTTTTCCTTCGCAACCCACTGAGCCGTAACCCGATTCAGTGAGCCAATTCAGTGAGCCATGTGAGGCTGATGAAATGTACTTAAAAGTCCTCAAAGACGCATTAAATTACCGCGATACTCGGTGCTAAGTCAATTAAACTCGGGGAAATGCCTATGTCAATTGAGTCCGCATTAGGCACTCGACTCGACTCAATTGGCTGCGTAGAAGAAATGAAAGCCTGAGCCGTCCCTAAGCCCAGACAAGCAGAGAGTGCTTAAAAATAACTTCGAATGAGTCAAACGAGTATTCAAACAACGCAGTTACAGTCCCGGGCCCCTCATGTAGGTAATTCCTCAACCAACTGACCCTGAACTAGAGTAAATGATATGCAAATAGACTTGTGTCCAAGCTGAAGCACGTGTGACCGATGCCCACCCCAATGGCCAAGAGCTTCCAGAGGATTACATGGGAACTGACAATGGAGCATAAACAGATTGAAAGCAGGAGCGTGGGCATCGGCGACACCTATCGCTGCACGCCGCACAAATTAAATTCAGTTGAGCTCAATTTAACTCTTTAACGGATTGAACAACAGAAAAATTATTTACCATTAGGTCACTCTTAATTAAAATTTCGACGAAGCAGTACGTGTTTTTTCGGGTGATATTTAGTATCGTCCAGGTCCTCATGCGACACCCACGCAAAGCGCGAATCTCGCCACAGTGGCCGCTGTCAGTCATACGACGTTTAATTTTGGCGCGCAGAGCCAGAGCCAGAGCCAGAGCCGTAACCGTAGCCGCAGCCGCAGCCGCAGCCCCCTTGCGTTTGTTGCCGGAACCGAAAGGAAGCGGCGCCCCCACGAAGCCAACGACATAAAAGGACCCAGCAGCCAGCAGCCGAGCGGCAGTCGCATTGGATACGCAGTCGAACAACAACGCACAAAGCTCAAAGCACCACGCACCACGCACCACGCACAGCGCGACACGGACAACGCAACAAGTGAAGCAAGTGAAGCGAGTGGGGAGCGGAGTTTTTAAGCTGAATGCCCTCAACTGGTTGAAGGCAGGTTGGAGGAAATGCAGCTGCCGTGTTCAGTGCAGTGTTCTTGAGTCGTAAACCCTTTAGAGTTTCCGCGAAAGTGTCCCGGGCGGCTTACGAAAAACTTTACTGCCATTAACTTTGCGCCTCCGCCAGTGTAATGTGTCCGGTTAACATGACACGCAATCGCATTTCTCGCAATATCCGGCTCATCCTTGTGGCCATCGCCGCGCTGTCCTCCTCGCCGCGCAACGGCACATCAGCCTCAAAAGACACTATAAATATTGGATTCCTAGCCGAATACTCTCAGATGCGGGTGAGTCGCGTTCGCAAATTAAAATGTAACTCAATATACTGAGAAAATATGGAAAACTGAAGTAAATAACACAATTAAAAGTGCAAATTAAAAATATTTAAAAAAATAAATAAATAAATAAAATAAATAATTTAATTTTGACTTTTAATAGTTCTAACATTAGTAAACAATTATGTAATTAATTATGTATGTATATAAAAAATTGATACAATAAATGTGGATGAAATATAACTATAAAGCAGTAATACAAACCAAAAAGAAATATATATCATTATATATAGTATATGAGACTAATTTTTATCTCGAAATCAAGCAGATAAGCTCGATAAAAAAAAACATGCCATTTGTAAACACTGTAAAAGTGTATAATAATATATAAAATTGAACCAAAAATGAAGTCTGTATTAAAGAATTTTATGCTTCATAAGATTCTTAATAATAAACAAATGAACAATTGCAAATTTCATTTTAATATATTATTATTTATATGTTTCTTTATTATTTATG